AGAGCTTGCTGATAATATTGATGCTAACACACACTGAACATGAAAACACATTCCAGCAGGACAGTAGATGCCCCAATTGAACACAATAAAATGGTTAGATAAAAGTGATGAACAGTGATATTTTACCTGAAACATCAGGAGTGAAAGTACACTGATAGCTGAATAGGAATGCTTTGTCTGAGGAGGAAAGTAACAAAATGGGACATGAAACATATGTAAGCTGATGCACAAATCATGGATCCCAGATTATTTGTCCCAGCGTATAAATGATGGGATACCTCACCTTAACTCTTTGGCTGGTCTAGTGGGCAGGGGAAAAAGTCCCACCACTGACAGCTGGTCCACTGCAACAGGCATATAGGGGTTAGTAGTCTGGTAGTGTCTGCTGAATATTAGGACCATGCTTAGTTTATAATAAACCTGGCCTGGCACCTTAACATTTTCTAATCTGTGGGGGTTTCTCTCAGCATCTGCTACATTGGCTATTTACACAGAGCCAGTGCAGCAGGGAGGGGGCGTGCACACACATGCTATCTGAACAGTTATCAATATTTGACAGAGCAAGATACCTGCCAGAACACAAAACCAATGACTTCTGACCACAACACAGGTTTCATACCTCTGGCTCAGATTCCAGGCAAAGATTTCCTCACACGAAGCTTCAATTGTAAACCTTTTGCCTTTCGTGTGGCAATGCAGGCACCTTTGTTGTACGTGTCTCTCACTGAGAAACCAGAGGCTGAATGGCCACCTGAGAGGGGAATTGACAGCCAGCATGTAACAGCATATAAAAAGGAGCTTAGCCTCTTCAGGTTTGTGGAGACACACAAGAGCTGTAGGAGTTGCTGGGTACGTGAAAAAAAGTCCTTATGAGGAAAGGTAAAGAGGTGGGGGGGGGGGGGGGGGGAAAAAGGGGAAACAGAGAAATTAACAGGCAAACAAGGCAACAAAAGAGAAAAGTAGAAGTGAAGCACTGATGAATACCCCCCAACTAGAGCAAATGGTGGTAGAAAAGGAAATGGCTCACAGCATCAACCAACCGCCTGAGGCAGCAAAATACTGGGGCTGTGCATGCCCAACTGGGCACTGCTAACTTAAATCTCTGGCTTTGAGCATAACACCTCAAGTGGAGCACGCACAGGGACAGAACTAAGAAACTCACCTTACATGAAGGGAGAAAAATTTCTTTTCATGTAGCAATCCATAGCATCAACCATCACAACCACAGAGGTCCTTAAGATGGAACCCCCTAATCATAAAAAATTCCCTAATTCTCTGAAACTTGCCCCACTCTGGTCATGAAGTATGCTGGCTTTCAAACAATCTGCAAAAAACATGTAAAGGCCGAGACTTTGGAGAGGGCTGGGGCAAAAGGGTATTGGATGGGTTAGGTCAGTGGTCCCCGAAGCGGTGCGTGCACGGCCCCAGGCACCTGGCAGCCCCAAAAGGTTGGGGATCACTCGGTTAGGTAATGGTTCTGCTCATAGCGGATCTTGAATTCAAGTATCTCATTAAGTTCAGAAATAGGTAGAGCTGTATCCCATCAGTTGCCTGTGGAGAGGTGGCCATCTAATTTACTGGAACCGTCTTCCTTTACTCAGTCTCATACACAGCATTAGATGGTCACTAATAAGTTTGCTTTAAGAGTTCCATGAGCATTAGGTTCAAATACTGATAAGCAAACATGTAAACAAAGATATATACATTACATAGAGTTGAGTACTTTTTACCTTCTGATTTTAAATGGGCTGCCAAAAACCAAAACAAAACCAAAACCACCACACACTAGTGGTGTTCCATGACTAGCACAGATATGCATAATTACCACCAGAGGTAGAAATGCAATTACACTTACAGCTTATTGACAAAGCATAAAATTTGGAACATCTCCACTGCAATCTTAAAACATGAATGTTTTGTATCATTTCACCAGTTATAAGAACAGAACCCAGAGTTATAGATTCAGGAAAAATTAGCATAATGGGGACTACCTTAGAGAAACTGGAGTAGTGAAAATTTGTGTACCAACAAAAAAGGGAAAAAGTAAAGAATCAGTCATGCTATTCTTCTTTCCTTGAAGGCCCAGCTTGTTTCTGCTACACATATATACAACAGATATTTTTGTTTAAGTAGTATCCAGAACCTCTAGCTTCTAAGATAGTGATAGAAATGTAGCCATGTCAGTCTGGTGTAGCTGAAACAAAAAACAGGACTATGTAGCACTTTAAAGACTAACAAAATGGATTATTAGGTGATGAGCTTTCGTATCCTTTTCATATGTGTTTTTTTTTTAATCATATCCTTTGGTATATATGGTTGTGACAATTTTCTTCCACTATTTGATCTGAGGAAGTGGGTCTGGCCCACGAAAGCTCATCACCTAATAAACCATCTTGTTAGTCTTTACAGTGCTACATAGTCCTGTTTTTTGTTTTAGCTTCTACGATAAAAGTCTTAATCAAAAATCTGATGGTGACCCATTATACTTTTTCCCCTGAAAAGCAAAGACCATGGAAGTGGTGTAAGAAGATTTGAACATGGGGGCTACAACTAGACTGGCATGATTTTCTGCAAATGCTTACGGAAAAGTTTTCTGTTAAAAGCATTTGCGGAAAAGAGCGTCTAGATTGGCACGGACGTTTTTGCACAAAACGGGTTTCTGTTCACATACTGAGCTTTTCTACTCTTAAAAGTGGGGAAGTTGACACCACTAGAGGCTGACTTCTGTTCCCTTGACGTTTCAGTCCAGTAGGGGCAAACCTAAAATTTGTTGGGGGCAGAAAGGAGGAAAAAGATTTTCAGTCTGAGGTAGTATCTAAGACCACTTAATTCTAAAATCTGTGGCTGCGTCTAGACTGGCAAGTTTTTCCGCAAAAGCAGCTGCTTTTGCGGAAAAACTTGCCAGTCTAGACGCAGCCACAGATTTTAGAATTAAGTGGTCTTAGATACTACCTCAGACTGAAAATCTTTTTCCTCCTTTCTGCCCCCAACAAATTTTAGGTTTGCCCCTACTGGACTGAAACGTCAAGGGAACAGAAGTCAGCCTCTAGTGGTGTCAACTTCCCCACTTTTAAGAGTAGAAAAGCTCAGTATGTGAACAGAAACCTAGCACCTAAGCAGAAACATCTTGGGTTCTGAAAAACAGACATATTATATATACACACACACACACACACACACATTTGCCAAACAAAATCATATAATAAATAAGTTATTACCAGGGCTCTGATATCAAGTTTTTAGTTACAGCTGTCTCCCACAGTAAGGCTCTGCTTGATTTAGGCCCTCAACACATTTGAAGGTGGGGAAGAAGGGAGCTGGTAACATAAAGCACCAATGTTGAATGTAGAAGAGTTCTGCAAAATTGTGACAACGTGCTTGCCTAAGCACAAAGTCTACAGTTCACTCCTTTCTTCTGCCTCAGTCTATAAATGCTAGGACATGTCACCTTAGCTCTTTGTCTGGTCTAGCCAATGGAAAGTGATGTATGAATTATCCAGTGATGAATTGTTGAAGGTTGTACTAGAGACCCTCCGCCATCCAAAAACTACCAGAGTGAAATTGAGTAGAATGGGAGAAAAGAAAACAAAAAACAAAAACAAAAAAAGAAATGTGACCAGCCTGAAGTCAAACTTCACTTGGTGCCAACTGTCACTTTCACGGTCCCACTTCTAATTGTCCAAATACAGCTGCTTATGTAAGGGAAATACCACATTAGAAATGAATTTAAGTGAGTTCCAATTTTTGCACTTCTCAGCTGGAGCAATAAAGCAAGTTTAACTTTCACTGTTTCAGTATGAGAGTTAAGAGGCTTTTCCATTTGATTTCTTTTGATCATGAAAATACGTTTGGATTTTAACCACAATTTTTTTTTTTTTTTTTTTATACACACAACCTCATGTGTGTCAAGTTGTGCCCAATTTAAAGTTGAATATTAATTTAAAAAATTAAACTATATGTCCAAGGACTTGTTGATGTAAATGCCCGTTCAAAAATATCTCAAGTGACCAGAAAGATCAATATAAAATGTTCTGCACAGTAGCTAAATACAAACTGATCAATATGCTCTTTGGTTTAAATTTAAAGAGGTCTGTAAGCAACATGAATTACAAAGTTTAATCATTTAAGTCAATTAGAATTGCTCTCCTATAAAAAAGGCTACAATTCTAATGTGCTTACTACAGAACGTAGGTACTATTGATATATAAGCTTAGTCACAAACTAATATGGATGCATTAATTTGAGTATTTTAAACTCCCAAGGCAACATCCTGTTTGCAATACATTACAGCTGACAGAAAATTGTCTACATTGGTTATAAAACTCCTATCAAAGACAGAACAGAAACAGGTCCCTAACTACACATGGATGAACAGATACCACCATTAAGTTACACTTAATGGTAATGCGAACCTGCAGATTCTTTTTAAAAGAAATAGTCAAGATTTAATGCCTTCAGATTCATCTTGTTCCATTCTGAGTTTACTATGGACTATTCAAGAAGCTAACAAACAAACTACAAAAGTCCAATTAGTTGCCTTTATTAGGTTTATTTTAACTTGAAGTGTTTATTACTCCAGATGGATAAACCACATTCCAGAGTAAAAGTTTAAATGCAGGACACTTCGGTTGCAGCCCAAACACATTTTTGCATTATTTTATAGTAATATAGCTCTAAATTTTAACATTTAATTTATTTTAATAAATTCCAAGCCAAGCTCATTAGCCTCAATGCAAGATAGCTTGTATGTAATTTTCCCCACACATTCATGTTAACTTTTGCTTACATGGAGATGAGAGGTCAATTGTGAGAGTTATGCAGAGTCAGGAGAAAACAAAATATAAAGTACCCATTTTCCCCCAAATAGAACAAGTCTGAATTTAATGTTTACTGTATAACAGAGATAAACTTGCTTCTTGCTCAGATAAGAGTGTCTGAACACAATATTTCAAAGTTTCCTACACTGGCACAAGAAATAAAATCTTCAAAACCATGGGTACTGAATTTGAATGTTTATTTTTTTAAAGAAACAATCTGCTCTCCTTCTGTTTTTCAGGTGAATACATGCATTTAAGTCATTTTGGGGTGGGGTTAACACTTAAAGACAAATAACATTTGGGGCTAACTGAAAAACCAATGGAAGATGGTAAAAATAAGCTGTCAAACATTTAAGTTACAAGCAAAAAATATTAATGCAACCAGTTAGATATTAAAGCTTGCTTTCTCTTACCAAAAAGATGGCACAAATTAAAAAAATAAAAGCTTGACAAATTTAGTTTAAATGGTACTAAATTATATGCAAAGCTTTAAAGCATTAGCTTAAACAGAGACATTTATTATTCCACTTGGAAAAAAGTAAATGGATCAGGCTCCATGTGTAGTCATATTTGGATAGATTTAAGCGCAAGTCACATTGAACCCAGTACTTTCCATAATACGTGTGGAGCTCCAACATTAGTACTACATGTGGTGAATGTCTCACATTAAGAAATCCCAATGTTCAGTATCAAAGATCCAAGGACACAAAGATATCCTAAATTGGTTTAATTGCACAATTATGGACTAGTTCAACTAATAAGTGGAAGGGGGCTTCAGAATGTTTTCATCATTGAGTGGCACATTTATCTTTTCAAGGCTGACCAGGACACTCACCTGCTGTTTCTATTTCACTGGTAGGAAATACCTCTGGTGATATCCTACAAGGAGATCATTCTACAGAATTAAAGTTCTAACGTCTTTTTCACCGTCTTACAGATCTCATCTTACGAGTCCATCTTGGTTGAAAATGCAAAGTCTCAGAATTGAAATTAGTTCTATACTTTATAAACAAATTATAAATATCACACAAAGCCTTACGGCTTTAAGTCAACAGTAGTAACTTAATTGTACATACACTGGCAGCTTTTTAAAAAGATTCTCAAATGGTTCCATGAGCTGCAAACTTAGCCCAGTATTATGGAAATGCTGAAGAACTCCTGAACATAGTGATTTATATACATATTAAGAACAAAATAATTCCTCTTAGACTGAAACAATGGCCTCCAAAATTTTTGAGCACAACATGATATATCCTGGACTTTGCCCTTTCCTTGATGGAGAACTTGAATGCTAGAGGACTATTTATTGCGAAAAACTGCAACAGCTATAATCCTGCCCCAGGTGGTCAGGCAGGAAAACGTTGAATCAAAGGCTCTCCAGTAGGATGTAAATTTACCTTAAATTGTTGTAGTGTATACTCACTTATGGCCAAGATATATTAGAACAGAGTTCAAAATCATGATCTAGAAAACAGAAAACAAAAGCAGAATTTTCAATATGGTGGCTCTAGCATAGTTTGGCCTCATCCATGTGTTAGACCTGTTTAGCTGCAAGTGAATGCAAGACAAGCTTGAAGCATGTCTGTCTTCTATTACAGCATGGATGGTGCCTCCACTTCATACATGTCTTCTTTCCCTTCAAGCTTGGAGCTCTTATCTCCTTATCACTCCTATTTTAGCCACCCATAAACAGAAGCTTTAGAATGAAAGTTTTTTGCCAAAAAGAAGAAATCAAGATCAGATTTTTCTAAATGTAAAAAGGTGTTTCAGCTTAAATTGTTCTCCTTTAATGATCTTCTGAAGGTCTACACTTAATAGTATTGATGTGCAGAGGAAGTAGCTTTCAGCCATACAACTTTCTGGATTTAAGTTTAAACTGTGCATCCAGTTCTCAACTTTAAATATTCATCAGGACATTCAGTTAAAGACATTGTAAGAAAGCAAGTTTTATCTTTGAAAGCCATCATGTTATCTCACATTTACTGAGAAAAAAAATCTCATCTTCTGAAGTAAAAATTAGTAATTAAGTAACTGTTTTAGGACTTAGAAGAAACTGCACTCCATCTTAAAGACGATGTCACACAGAAACTATTCAGTTCCAGCAGTTTCCATAAGTGACCAGAAATCTTGCTCACCAGCAGACAGAACACAACCATTTTCCAACTGTTCCCTATTCCCTTGCATCCCACCCCTCCCCAACACGGGCAATTACTTCACACAAAAATGTAAAACGGGATATGGTTGCACACAATACCTACCCTTCACTAATACTGAACAAAAAAAGCCTATTCTCCAATTACAGGACATCTTTCTCTAAATTTAGGTCTGTACTGGTGCACAGTTCGCACTGTTTTTTGTTTACCACAAGGATAATACCAGCAAGTACATATATGTTCTCAAACTGAAAGTGTAAAACCCTATGAAGTTAACTGGGGAAACTTTAATATTGCTACTTCAGAGCACTAAAACACACAAAGTGAATCCAATAAGGGTCCTTGTATTGATTCAATATTAAGTATTAATTGCATGACCATCATAGCACCTCTTTACATTATCACACAATCACCAGAATTATCAACTGCTTTTAAAACTAAAAAGGGCACAGTCCAATATTTATAACTTGCACACTGTTACTATATAGAAACTAGGTGCCTTATACAGTGCTGCGAAAATGGAAGCCTGCAGATTTGACAAGATGCCAAGTCATATTTTAGACAATTTCAGTCAAACTGGCAATACTGTTGAAGCAAATACTCAACACAGCAGGAAATAAGGACAAAGCATTCTATAACCAAATAAAACATCTGATATTTCCTTTCCCTTTAAGAATACAAGTAAGGTCACTTTTAGCCTTGGAACGGATACATGTTCGCCTATGATGATCTTGCTAACTACTACACAATATCTGATGTCCTCTGCTAAGAATATAGTTTAAGAAAGCCGTAGTTACAAGAGGCATCTACTGTAATACCTAAAACTTCCTTTATGGCAATTATTGAATTCACTTGTCTTAAACAGTGAATATGGGAAGATGGCCTCATGTTTCCTTTTCAATAGTACTCTGAGGATCAAGTGGCTTTCAAGCAGCATGGTGGGTTTGAAATTTTTGCAGTTTAGATCATTCGGTTGCGTTTATGAGTTGGTGAGTCTGTAATGACATCGCCACACTGGGCTGAGGTACGCTTTCTAGTTCCACCATTGTCCAAGTGGAGTGCCATTTCTTCTGATATGAAAGTGTTCAAATCAACATCATGGAGTCCATTTCTCCTACGACTAGCATTGGAACCACTGCTTACGTGAGTGGGAGAGCCTGGGGTACTTGAACGAACACTTATACTAGCCATTGCACCACTAAGACCTAGAAAGGGGGGAAAAAAAAGAGAAAACATTTTAAAAAGGCAATAATTGAAGTCAGAACGTGAACTAGTTTTCTGTGCACTGTAAGCAATCACCCTTAAGTTTTTGTAACATGCTAGAAAATTCATATGTCAGATAATATTCCATTACCATTGCACACATGATCGTCTAGGCCAGAAGTGGGCAACAAAATTTTGTAAAGTGGTCGAGGGCTGAACTCTTCCATGATATTAATGGAGGAGGTGCAGGGTCTGGGATGGAGGCTGGATGCAGAAGGGAGCTTGGAGTAAGGGACTAGAGTGCGGGGGGAGGGAGGGTGAGATCCAGGAAGGAGTTTGAGTGAAAGAGGGCTGTGACCTGGGGTAGGGAATTGAGGCAGAGGAAGGGATGCAGGGGCTTGGGTTGTGACCTAGGGTAGGAAGGGGTTGTGACCTGGGACAAGGGATTGCGGTAGGGTGGGAGGGGAAGAGGGTTTGGGTTATGTGAGGTAAGGAGAGGCAGAGGGTTTGGGGAGGGAGGGGGAAAGAAGTGTGTCAGAAGTAGGCTCTAGCAGGTTCATTGCCTTCCATGCCCTGGTAAGGTGTTCAGAGCAACCAGCTGCAGGGTCATGCGCATCTGTGAACAGCTGTGAGCCCAAGGGAAAGGGTAAAGTGTACTTCACAAGCTGCCTGTCTACAAACAGGCAGCTCCTACTGGCCGAAAAAATGGTTTCTCAGCAGCATGCAGGGGCGGGGAAGACAGGGAGCCTCATTGAGACTCCCGCTGCACCCATGGGCTGGATCCAGTGGCTTGGGCAGGCTGATTCTGGTCTGTATTTGTCCAGCCCTGGTCTAGGCACTGAAAGTCAATCCCTTTCCATCATGTACTGCATTCAAGTATGCAGATCTTTTAAAGTTACTTCCCATACAATGTTTCAGAGGGCTAGCTGTGTTAGCCTAACTTTAAAAACAAGTAGCCCTGTGGTACTTTAGAGACTAACAAAGAGAGAGAGAGAATATCATGAGCTTTCATGCTTAAAACCTACTAAAAAACCCAAACAAACTATTTGAATCCGGAGGGTGGGCAGGTGCCAGCCCACCCACTTCTAAAAGCCCCTTCCCCAGCCTTGCAGGAGGGATGACTGAACCCAGGGGTCAACTGATTCCGGGAGACAAATGATGAAGAACAGGAACAAGGGGTGCAGGTCAAAGGTTTAAAATGAGGGGACTGAATGGTGACACCAAACAGAGAACCTTGGACACTGCCACACTGCTCCTCAAAGCTGTCCAAGGAGCCACTGGACACTGCCTAGAGGACCTCTGCCCGGATGCGTGAGACCAGGGAGAAACAGAAGCAAGCCTCAGTTGCAGAGCACCTCCTTGTCCAGCATCCTACTCCCAGGATTGCATATGGTGGCTTTTGCCAGGTCCAGGAGGAGGTTGACAAGGTAGTCTCATGACTTTGTGGGGCCATGGATGGGGTGTGCATAAATAAAGGGCTGAGGGGGAAAAGTGCAGCCAGAACCTCCATAAGAGGCTCTGGGAGAAGCAGGAATATGGACTGCAATCTGGCACACTCCAGATGCATGCATCAGGTTTTCCCTCATGCTGCAGAAAAGGCAGCCGTCTACGATGGGGGTGAACTGTGCCAGGTACACGCTTGTGCTCACAGCTCCATGAAGGAGCTGCCAACTGATGTCCCTGATGGGCCATGGGATTACGGTGGACTAAAAGTCGGACCATTGGGGTTCTCCACCTTCAACAGGTCTTAGATAGTGCCGCCACTTGGTGTCTGGGTGAGACAAGAGGGGGAGGAAATACAACGTGTGGATCATGAGCGTGTACAGATGGTCCTTGGGTGCGGTTAGGAAACAGACTGGCTGCAGATCCTGTGGTGGTCCAGGGATGGGGAGGCCGGGGGCCGAGAAAAAGACCAAGGGTGCAGTGAGAGGGGTGTGCCCTCTCGCAGAGCTCATTGCAGGAGAGCAGGCTGTGACATGGCCTCCTTACCCACAGTCTGCATATTTTAGTCTCTAAGGTGCCACAGGACAAATACATATGAAATTAGCAAGTTAGCTCTTTAGCTGTTGATACATACCACAAGATTGCAGTGAGAAAAAAAAACCTGCTGTACCCAAATCGAGACAACCTATCCTTAAGTGTACTTTCAATTTAAAATGCCATCCTTTTCAAAAGGATTTATTCTTACCATGTGAATACTTTAATTATATAGTTTGAGACTGACCTGAAAGTGAGTTTTTTTCCTAGAGTATCTGATTTTGATATGACCTCTCCTATCCTCCAGATTTAGTGAACCAGTACAAGTTTGAAACAGTTATATTTTCATTTGTTAGGAATTGTTGGCAAGAGACCAGACATTTATGCAGCAACTAAACTGAACAAGGTTTCAACAGTAATAAGTTTTTACTTTAAAGTCACTTATTCTCAACTATTGGCAGCTATAACTAAAGTTTAAACATACCCTTAGTTTTGTTGATATGTCTGAATAAAGATATTCAAACATTTTAGAGAGATTGGTAATGTACATGCGACAGCATTTTGGATAGATGTTTGTGAACTGTTTCTAGATTGTGCTCCCTAGAATTTTTCTGTTTCCAATATCGGCATTAGGACTGTTACTGTTGAAATTTGACTATTTCAGAGAATTAATGTAATATTCAACAATTCAGCTTTGTTACACAAGCACACAAACATATTACTACCGTGTTTAATCTGGCAAAAGTAGAATGGTCTAATATAGGATCAGCCCGAATCTACTTGTGTACTCTCAGAATATATGAACCTACCAATTCTCTCTATATACTCATTTTCCTGAGAATTTCAAATTAAGATAACAAGGGGTCATGAGTCTGAACACTTATTTCTAGAGGCACCTAGAGGAATATATTTACTATACTGATTATACCCAAATGGAAGCTGTGAAGTAGCGAATAAAATTTAACCAATATCAAGTAAAAAGCTTCCTCAGGTATACTGACAGAACACAAAACAATGTAGCTGGAAGCGAAAGCAGACAGCAGAACCAGACTACCAATACAGGCAGTCCCCGGGTTACATGGATCCGACTTACATCGGATCCCTACTTACAAACGGGGTGAGGCAACCCCGCACTAGCTGCTTCCCCCCAGCAGACCAGGGAGACGCGAAGCTAGCGCCCCCCCTTCCCCCCCCAGCAGACCAGGGAGACGCGGAGCGGCTTTTCTCAGCAGACACCTCAGCTTGAGAATAAAGGACTGAGGGAAGTGAGGTGTGGGAGAATAAAACTGAGCTCTGGAGAAATGTTTGGCTAGAGTTTCCCCTACAATATGTACCAGTTCTGACTTACATACAAATTCAACTTAAGAACAAACCTCCAGTCCCTATCTTGTACGTAACCCGGGGACTGCCTGTACATATCACTTATAGCAAAAAAAGGCTTAAGACCCATCTATTGTAGCAAGTGGCTATGACTCTCAGAGTTCATTACAGGACCTTGAACATATAATCTAGATATATATGATCAACTCGCAACCTATTTCAGGTATCATACCTGGCTAGAATTTGACCAAAAACCCCCAAACCGAAAACTACCCAGTGTTGCTGCAAGCAACCCGTATGTGATCCTCAGAACAAACTTAAGTTTTGTTGAATAATTTAAAATTCAAGTGAATAAGATTAGTCAATTTTAAAAAATTAAATTTAGAGTAGCTTTAAAAGTTTGCTCTTATTTAAGCTTTGTTGTATAAGGGTTTCTTCACAGGCCTATATTGCAAGATCACCAGTTTAACAAAAGTTCTCAAAAAAGGAAAATATAAAACAAACTGCAAATGAAGTACTCTTAGTACAAAGGTGCTCAAAGTTTACTCTATGGATATTCATGGAACTGAACACTAGAGTGAAGCGCATTTACAATTAAAAACTGAATTGCTGCATTATTTACTAGTATCATAATACCTGCTTTGTCTCATAATACAAGAATGAGCAATCAGTAAAAGCAACATTAAAATAAGGTAATGCATCAGAAAGGAAAAGAAAAATAAGGTAGCACTTTGGCATCCATTTCTAGATTATTTGATAGAAACCCCTTTGGGACAGTAATAGAGATGTAGCCATGTTAGTCTGGTCTTGCTGAAACAAAAGACAGGACTATGCAATACTTTTAAAGACTAACAAGATGGTTTATTAGGTGATGAGCTTTTGTGGACCAGACCCACTTCGGAAAGCTTATCACCTAACCATCTTGTTAGTCTTTAAAGTGCTGCATAGTCTTGCCTTTGGAACAGGACAGACATAACAGGAAGAAGGTATAAAAAGGTGCAGTGTGGTGGTGAGAAAAGAAACATACTGGCTACGTCTAGACTGGCATGATTTTCCGCAAAAAGCATTTGCGGAAAAGTGTCTGTGCCAATCTAGACGCGGTTTTGCGCAAGAAAGCCCCGATCGCCATTTTTGTGATTGGGGCATTTTTGCGCAAAACAATACTGCGCTGTCTACACTGGCCCTCTTGTGCAAAAGCATTTGCGCAAGAGGGCTTTTGCCCGAACGGGAGCAGCATAGTATTTCCGCAAGAACACCGACAATCTTACATGAGATGGTTAGTGTTCTTGCGGAAATTCAAGCGGCCAGTGTAGACAGCTGGCAAGTTTTTCCGCAAAAGCAACTGCTTTTGCGGAAAAACTTGCCAGTCTAGACGCAGCCACTGACTAAAAGGACAGTGAACAAAGATTTCAAGTACAGCAAGTTTATGACCACAAACCACCAATAAAGTCAATGAGCCTCCTCACAAATAAGTTTTAGGAACAGGTTAAGAATTGTGAGGTGTTCTTTAGGAAGGATGTAAAATGTAACCATGTAACTGCTAAAAATCATAAGGGAGGGGGTGTCACATGTGTTGCAGGCTCTGCAGTATAAAACTTAAGTAACTTTATAATGTAGATCCCACAGTAAAGCACTCCCAGGGAGGCTTTGCTGCAGGCTCTGCAGACAGCTCCCCAGGAGTGGGACCAAAGAGGAGCCAGCTCGT